ACCATCAATCATAACTGAAATTTCACTCTTCAGGTGATGACTTTGTTTTATTGTACCTATCTTTAGCTATGTTTCTCATATACCCATTGCCGTCAAGTGGATTCCAACTCATAGCACCCTTATATTTTTCTCATATACTCCACATGTTATAAGGTCATAAATGGGAAGCTGTTTGCTAGTTCACCAAACTATTGTTTTTTTACTTCTGTTTCCTTTGAGATTCACTCTGCCCAGCTGTCACTTTTTAGTCCTACTCATCTTTGATATCTAACAACTTCATGATCTTTTCCAAACATGCATTAAATCTGTGTGGCATAGCTGTTCACCAAACTCATTTCCCTTTACTCTGTCGTATAGCTAGACTATTTTCCCAGCTTCCTTTAGTAACTATGATCATGTGAGTGAGTTCTGACCAATGAAGTTCCAGGGGTGTGACGTCATCACTTCCAAGCCTAGCCCCATATATCATCCTCCACTCTTTCTCTTTCTCCACCTGTCAGCCAGATGTAGACCTCCAGGGAAACCTTGCAAGTTATCTGTTGAAGACAGTTGAGCCTCTGAATGACTGTGTGGAGCAGAGGCCCATGGACTGTTGATTGGACTTTAAATGAGCAAGAAATAAACTATACTACATGCATAGCCATAGCCACTGAGATTTGGGGTTTATTTGTTACTGCTCCTGAAGTTAACTTTAATAACGCACCATACTGATAAATTTTGCTATACTGATAAATTTTACTATAATGCTAGAAATTTTAGGATTTAAAGATTAAAAATAATACTAGCATTATAGTCCTTGAATCTTACCCCAAGGCAACTTTATGTCCAATGGCCACAAATTTTATCATTATTTCAGAAAACTGCGTCTTGGTAGTGTAGTGGTTAAGAACTTGGCTGCTAACTGAAAGGTCAGCAGTTCTAATCCCCCAGCTGCTCCTAGGAAACTCTATGGGGCAGTTCTACTCTGTCCTGTAGGGTCACTGTGAGTCGGAAACGACTTGATGGTAACGAGTTTGGTCTGGTTTCATTTCATTTTGGGAACCTAATCCATTTTCTAATTTCAAAATCTTATACATATAATTTTTTCTGTGATTTCTAGCCTTAATTGGTTCATCAACACTGATTATATTATCTTTTTACCTCTCCTTTTACAGCTCCTTCTCCCATTATTCTCAAGGATTATTCCAAACCCTCTCTTCTCATCTCAAACTTCTCATCCAACCTGCGGATCCCTATGTTTATATACTCTTGGAATAGCCTTCTTTCTTGAGGGAACTGAAGGCATCATGGAAGATTTGCCGAAATAAAATATTATAAATACTGTAGTTTTTATACCTATTACCTCTTCTACTACTTTTAGGAGACCCTCTGGGTGATTTGAAGTAAACCAGTTAACCTCTTTAAGTTATCTGTAAAATGGGAATGATTCTCATTGAACTGGCTACTAAGTTCTATTGTTATAATGATCAAATAAGATAATGTATGTGAAAGTCCTTCAGGAAATGTAAAGGATATTGCATGAGTAAGGGATTATTATAACTTTTATCTAGTGGTGGCTCCGCAGAAGAAAGAGCTGGCCATCTGTTCCTATAAAGCTTATAGCCTAGAAAACCCTATGGGGCAGATCTACTGTTACATGGGGTCACTATGAGTCAAAATCAACTCAGTGGCAACTAACAACAACAACATTCTATTTTCATTTCCAGTTAGACAATATTTAAGCATCCACCCTATCCTCAAATATACTTTATTATGGAGCATTCTAGAATGTCAAGTTGCAAGTTTTCGGGAAACAAAATTTTCTGTGGTCAGGATGTTGATCACAATTTCTTAGTTTTATGATCACAAATTAAGTCATATGTTTAGTCAATCCTTGAATATTGTATTCCTAAGTGTTCATATATATGCCAGTTCTCATTCTCTCCAGATGCCTCAAGTAAACAATCCCCTCATTGCTATTTCCACACTTGTAATTTATAGGCTGATATTAAACTGTCTTATAAACAGCACCATTAACCCACACAGAAAGGGCAGTTTTCAAACTTCTTTTATTGAACATTTTGAGCATCTATTATAGTCAAGGTGCTGTGCTCCTGAAGGGTACACCAGGTGATGTATCTCCTGCTTTTGAAGGGTTAACTGAACTTCAGTCTTCATCAACCAACCATATTGGGAAGATGCCATCTGTAAAATTTATTTAGTTGCTCAAGCTGAAATCTAGGAATCTCAGTTCCCCTATTTCCTTCAGCTGCTACACCCAATCATTCAGCAAACCTGATGATTTTATGAGCTAACCATTTCTCAAATATCTACTTTCTTTTAAGGCCATCAGCATATGTCCCTCCAAAGCTTGGTCCCTGCACATAATACAAGCTTTATGTAATATACGTTTTGTTCAATTCAAGGGGAACATGTTGCAGTTCAACAAATGTCATGATTTTCTACATATCCATGCCTTTACTAATACAGTTTTCTCTGAAACTCTGAAAACCAAAATACTCAATTCCCCTATCTTGTTGCAGTTAATGGTAGCTGACTCTCTCCATCCACCAACTGAATTGCCAGTTCTAAAATCCGCCTGAATACAATGCATAAACCTCATTCTTAATGATTCCCATTTGTACAGAACTTATCTGTGGATCTGTCTCCATTGTTAGACTTTATTGCAAGAATATCTCCAATGGCAAGAAAGTAACAGCAGCATCTTAGAATTCTCAGAAATTTAGTATGAATTCAGTACAAACTCAAATTTAATATGAAATCAATAAATGTTTAACTGAACTAACAAAAAAAACCCAAATCCATTCCCATCGAGTTGATGCCAACGCATGGTGACCCTATGCGGTTCAGAGTAGAAATGTGTTCCATAGGGTTTTCTTGGCTGTAATCTTTTTTCTTTTTTCTTTTTTCCTGGAAACCCAGTGGAGCACGTTTCTACTCTGACATACGTAGGATCGCCATGAGACATAATCAACTCAACAGCAACTAGTTTTTTGTGTTTTTTTTTTAATTTAATTTTAATAATTTATTTTTTCTTTTTTTTTTAGTTGTGCTTTAGATGAAGATTTACAGAGCAAATTAGTTTCTCATTAAACAATTAATACACATACTGTTTTGTGACACTGGTTGCCAATCCTACAAAATGTCAACACGCTTCCTTTCTCAACCTTGGGTTCCTCATTTCTAGCTTTCCTGTCTCCTCCTGCCTTCTCCTCCTTGCCCCTGGGCTGGTGTGCCATTTAAATCCTACCCTTTATTTTATTTATTTATTTATTTCAATAAGGTTTTGTGTGTGTGCTTTAGGTGAACATTTACAGTTCAAGTTAATTTCTCATACAAAAATTTATACACATATTGTTATGTGACATTAGTTGCTATCCCTACAATGTGACAGCACACTCCTCCTTTCCACCCAGGGTTTCTTGTGTCCATTCAACCAGTTCCTGTCCCTTCCTGCCTTCTCTTCCTGCCTCCAGGCAGGAGTCGCCCATTTGGTCTCGTGTATCTGATTGAACTAAGAAGCACACTCCTCACAAGTATTATTTTTTGTTTCACAGTCCAGTCTGATCTTTGTCTGAAGAGTGGGCTTCGGGAATGGTTTTAGTTCTGGGTTAACAGAGGGTCCGAGGACCATAGTTTCGGGGGTTCCTCCAGTCTCTGTCAGACCATTAAGTCTGGTCTTTTTACATGAATTTGAGTTCTGCTCCACACTTTTCTCCTGCTCCATCATGGACTCTCTGTTGTGTTCCCTGTCAGGGCAGTCATTGGTGGTAGCCAGGCACCATCTAGATCTTCTGGTGTCAGGGTGATAGAGCCTCTGGTTTATGTGGAGCTTTTGTCTCTTGGGCTAATAGTCTTCGATGTTCTTCATTCTCCTTTGCTGCCAGTGGGTTGGGACCAATTGATGCATCTTAGATGGCCACTCACAAGCTTTTAAGACCCCAACCGCCACATACCAAAGTGGGATGCAGAACACTTTCTTAATAAATTTTGTTATGCCAATTGACCTACACTTCCCCCGAAACTGTGACCCCCATGCCTCAGCGTCAGCTACTCTGTCCCTCAAAATGTTTGGTTGTGTCCAGAAAACTTCTTAGCTTTTGCTTTGATCCAGTTGTGCTGACTCATAGTATACCTTAAACATACTTCACATCCAGTATAAATTGGTGGAGGTTATACAGTAAGGAGAAGTTATATTTGCACATTTCTTTACAGTTTTCCAAGTATAAGCAAATTTGAGATAGTAATTATCATCATCTACTTATCATAGATAAGGAGACTGAGGGTCAGAGAGGTAATCACTGGCATATCTTGGGTATTGCACCTGCCCTGGGCATGTGGTGCCACTGAACATTTTCTATTAACCTGGTATGGTCCAACATCCTTCCTCAAGCACAGTAATGTGTTAATTAAAAGATTAACGAGCTTGACTGGTATTTTTGAGCTGATAAAAGAGGGGTGTCAGATGTTTGGACAGGTGTGCAATTTCAGTGCTTGCCATAGGCACCACTTCCCGTAGATGCGCCTCTAGGCTTACAGGGTTAATAGAAACTGCTCTGTGATGCCAGGTGCCCAGGGCCAGTGCAATACCTGCCATACCTACCATACCCTAGTTATACGTCTATTAAAAGATTCTGTATTCTCTGTGCTAGTTTCTCAAAATATGTACAGAATATCCTGATACATTTTATAAATTTGTGGGTAAATATCTATAAGGAAAATAAGTAGCAATAGTGATGGCTTCGTTTGGTGAGCATCCACATACGAACAGCAGCATCTCAGCCTCAGTCCAGATATTTCCACCACATCTCTACCATTAATACAAACTGCCAGCTGTGATTCCTTAACGAATTGTAACCCCACATATAAATATCTCTTGTAAATGAGGAACATTCTCATGATCTTTACACTGCAATTTCTTGGAAATTTCACAACACCATTAGGAAACATTACCCAATCACACAACAAAGGTTTGAGGTTATAACTATTTTTTTCAATTTCAAGAGAGAAGTAGGGGAAAATAAAACCGGACAGCTGTGGGAACCATATCTTCATACTGCATGACTTCTCAGCTACCTGCAGTAGCCAGCATGTCATTGGTCCTACTTTCTGTACTGTGGCTCATTGCTCAAACTCAAGGTAAGTGCTAATATACTGACATTTTATATAATTCAAATAATGAATTTTATAAAGTCCCTTAACGTATTATTTACAGAACATAGAAACAGACTGAAAGAGAGAGAGAAAATAACAGCTTTCATGAACCAAAGATCACCCCTACTTACATTTTGGTATATTTTCTGCCTTTCTCTCTAAAAGAGCAAACTGAATGTATAAATACTGATGTATGAATTAAAACATTTTGAAACACTATATAAAACATGTATTCTAAAATTCTTCATAATTTCTCAAATTATAATATATTTTAATAAATAACAAATTTCATGTTTGCACAATATTTTCCCAAATGGATGAGCCAAAATTTACTGTTTCTTTATTGATTCTATTTTTTTCACTAACAAATAACATCTTCATGTATTGAGGCTTTTGAAATATCTGTATTTTAGGATATTTATCTAAGAAAGATTCTCAGAAGTAGAATTACAGGGTCTAAGTGGAATTACAACATCTAAGAGAAAAATAACATTAAAAAAAAATTTCAGGCTGATGTTTACTGATGGATGAATCAATCTGATACCACTATATACTCCCTATTATCAATAAAATTAAGTCCATTGATTCTATCATTGATTATTGAGAATGTTAAAATTCAAATGTTGTGAACCTGCACATCTCCATGGATAAAAACATCTGTGGCAAATCCTATAGCAAAGCAAGTAAAGACCATGGCTAAGAAGTCATCTGATCTCACCACAAAATTAACTTGCTTAATGATGCTGCACAAAAGTTGCATACATGGGGCTAGCTCTAGCACTTGTATTTCTCATATATTCCTCACAATGTCCAACCCCAATACTCTATCCAAAGAAAGAATAAAATATAGTAATTATTAAACAAATAATTATGCCATATATACACAGCTCAATAAAGGCTTTTAAAATCAGGGTGTTGTGATTGGCATAATACTTTAGTAACAACGCCTCTGAAATTATCTTTCTCACTCAATGATCCTACTAGTGGCATTATTTTATTTTCTAAAACACACAGCCCCAAATGACACCCTAGAACTAACTTCCAGACCAAAAATTAAGTCATTTTATTTATGAGAACTCTTTAAATATTGTCAGTGTCATCTTGAATAAAGTTTGAATCCTTTGTTGTTTCCTACCCTACAAGGAGACAACTATTTTTCCAAAATCATGATTTGGTCAGAGGCTGTACTAGGGTGGATGGCAGTCAAAGTAATGTGATGACTACCTGTCCCATGTGGAAGACTTCTGAAGTAAAATAGGGTTAAATTAGGAATTATTAAGTGAAAGAAAAATTTAATTGACGAACTGAACAGCAATTCACCTGTTGTCTCAGAACAGAATACAATATACCATTCATTAGAATTAATTGCACTCAAAAAGAGTTGCAAACCAAATAGAGAAATAGAATGGTTTCATTAGATTTTTTTTAAAAAAAGTGTTAAATGTCTTTTTTTCCCCCAGTTCTCACAGATACCTCTAAAAAGCTCACTGATACATTCTTTGAAAAATGGAACTTATTGGCTATTGCCCCTCAATACTTTGCTCAAAAATCACTGAAATTGTTCTTTCTCTGATGGTAATAGTGAAGTCCACAGTACTCAAGTTACCCTGAGTTTTTAAACATCTGTTCCTATTATTTGCTGTGAGTCAGAATAAACTCAATGGCAATAGATTTGTTTTTGTTTTGTTGCTATTACTTTAGGTAACCCAACAGTTAACAATAAAGCCATTATTTTAACACATTTTCATGGACTGTCATTAAATAGATAATTCTATACTGCCATGTTTCTTTGTTTTTCCATACATAATTTTACCTAGTTAATCATTCTTCTTTCAAGCTCTCTACTTTATGGAAATTCTATAAAATCTGTTAAAGATGGTCTTTCATTATCAAAAGTGTATAAAACCCTCAAGATCAAACTAACATGTACTTGTGGAACTGCTAAGTAAAAAGAACTTTAGCCTTACATTTGTTTTTGCTTTTTTTGTATGAAACCATTCCAGAAGTTTCTTCGGAGGCTTGGGAGGTGATTTCAACTGATGTTTGACCCTATTCACCAATTTACCACTATCTGTCCTCACAAGTTCAGACTTCTGTCCTATTCTTAAAAACGAGTTATCTGTGCTACTATCTTAATGTTGCTGTTGTTGTTGTTGTTAGGTACCCTCAAGTTGGTTCCAACTGATAGCAACCTTATGTGCAACAGAATGAAACACTGCCCAGTCCTGTACCATCCTCACAGTCATTGCTATGTTTGAGTCCATTGTTTCAGCCACTGTGTCAATCCATCTCATTGAGGGTCTTCCTCTTTTTCATTGACCCTCTACTTCACCAAGCATGATGTCTTTCTCTGGGGACTGGTCTTTCCGGATAACATGTCCAGAGTTTGTGAGAAGTCTCACCACCCTCGCTTCTAAGGAACATTCTGGCTGTACTTCCAAGACAGATTTGTGTTCATTCTTCTAGCAGTTCATGATATATTCAATATGCTTCATCAACACCATAATTCAAAGACATCAGTTCTTCTTCAGTCTTCCTTATTCATTGTCCAGCTTTTGCATGCATATGAGGCAATTGAAAATACCATCGCTTGGGTCAGGTGCACCTTAATACTCCCATTTGTCCCTTAGATCTCATCTACTCAAGGATATTGCTGTAACAACTCCCCCTTCTTTCCTCCTTTATTTCACACTCTTCACCAAATCATTCCCATGAGCATACAGAAAATGCTATTTCGTCTCTCAAATTAAAATAAAAATACCCCTTATCATTCCTCCACTGCCAGCTAACATCCTATGTTATTTTTCTCTCCTCTTTGCAGCAAAAGTCCTCAAAGAAGCAGCCTATACAGTGTCTCCAGTACCACTTCTTTATTCTCTCCTACACCTGATTCTATAGAGTTTTCATCCTCACCACTTCACCAAGACAGATCTTATGAACCCATTGATATTAAATCCAGTGGCTATTTTTCAGGCATCATTTTCTGTATTTTCTGTCTCTCTCCCTCGGTGTAAAACATACTGTTTCTTTTGGTGTACACCCTACCTCACTGTCCTCCTTTACCGGTTCCTCCACTTTTCCTCATTATTCTAATATTGGAGTATCCCAAAGTTCAGTCCTTGATACTCTTTCTTAGATGCATTCAGTCATTTGGTGATCTATCTAATCTTATGGCTTTAAACACCATCCATAAGAGAACAATTCCCAACTGTCTGCATTCTTACTGACATGCACACTTTATTTGCAATAAATCCACTTGGATGTCTTACAGCCATCTCAAAATTAGCATGTCCATAACATTTCCCTGCATCTCTACTCTATCTGCATCTTTCCCCAAGTTTGTTAATGACAATTCTCTTTTCTCAGGACAAAAACACTGAGTTATCCTTGACTCCTCTTTCTCTCACATTCCATATTAAATACCCACAGGTACTATTGAGTCTACCTTCGACGTATGTCCAGAATTTGACCACTTTTCACTGTTTCTACTGATATCACTGTTATCTAAGCCACCACCATCTTTCTCTTGGATTATCAAAATATCCTCCTACTAAAAATCTATTGCCATTGAGTCAATTCCCACTCATAGCGACCCTAGAACTGCCCCATAGGGTTTCCAAGGAGCAGCTGGTGGATTTGAACTGCCGACGTTTTGGTTTGCAGTTGAACTGTTAACCAGCAGTTATGTATTCCTCAGTATCACAATAAATCATTACGCTCTTTCATTCATTAACATTTGCCCTCAAGACTTCATATTTCAAAGAAAATAAAGTTTTGTTGTCCTCTTTGGAGGAATTCTTAATAGCATCAAAGAGCACATAGAGAAAATTAAATAAGTGCTAGCAGAGCTAGTGGAGACCAGTCCCTGGAAAAGGACATTGTGCTTGGTAAAGTACACGGTCAGCAAAAAAGAGGAAAACCTTCAATGAGATGGATTGATGCAGTGGCTGCAACAATGAGCTCAAACATAACAATGATTATGAGGATGGCATAGGACTGGGCAGTGTTTCATTCTGTTGCACATAGGGTTGTTATGAGTTGGAACCGACTCAAGGGCACCTAACAACAACAATAGAACTTTTCCTAAGAATATTGGGAGGAAGTAAGGGATTGCACTACAGAGGGAAAAAATACACTGAAAGGGAAAAGAGAGGTCTCTGAAGACAACAAGGGAGGAATTCACAATTGTGAAGAAACTGTAGAGGAAGAAGGAACTGGGTCACTACAGGTAGAATGCCTGGACCCTGCAAACTTTGCTGTAATCCAACACCAGCCTTTCCAGGCATGGTGACCCAGGGTTTACATATACTGAGAGATCATTTCAAGACTTGTTTTATCATATTCAAGTCTTTCTAGAATTGGGGGAGGGAATAAAAGAACAATTCTTTTTCACCAAAGCTTAAATTGATGATAAACTAGTCCTCAATTTTTGCTCCCTACATTGGAATTTAGTCTTTCCTGTCCTTTCAACAAAAGCAAGCAACCCAACATAAAAACAGTTTTTAAGCCCTTTACATCAATAATGGCTCTTTTTCTCTAGCAATAGCCATAAAGCAAACAATGGAATTAAAGCTCTATGAAGTGGTCCATCCTAAGAAACTACACATTTTGCACAAAAGAGACATAAAAGACAACCAGACAGAGAATCATGGCAAAGAGGTAAGCAGTGTGAATCACTGTGGTAGATTTTACAATCATCTGAAGAAAAGAAAGAGGTTTTTCACTAATAGACGTGATGTCACAATCAACGTCTGACGATTCAGTCTTGGAGTCCATATAGCCAACTCCCCTTTGTTCAGGAAAGAGCACAACACGTCTCAGAATGCTATTACAGTTAAGTAACAGGAAATTATCATAAAGCACAAAGCTACTTGGCCATTTCCCCAAGTATGTGGGAAAAAAAAAGGAGCACAGGAAGGGCAGCCATTTCTATAAAGAAAGACTTTCCAAACCTCCCATATTTCCCTTCTAAATCCCCCACCATGAATTGCCTTTTTTTTTCATTTTGTCTGTAACAGAGAATTCAACATTATCCTATTAATTATAAGATTTTAAAATTATTAAGGATATTAACTCTGACTACTATATCATTACAAATGTTTCCCCATTTTTCACTTTTACCTAGTTTAATTCTTAGAAGATTTTCGGTTTGTTTTCTTTAGTATATTGTGTTTGGTTTTAAAGTAAAGAAAACATATGCCTGATTGTTATCCCATTAGGAATCCATTGTGATACACACAAGACAATACACTATTCAATAGGCTAAATGATAAGTCCCCATCTCACGTACGTAGAATTTGTTTAATCCTTAAGTGTTTAATTCCATGTAATGACACTTTTTGGAAGTCCATCTTGATTTACAATTTATGTTTTATTTTACATGTTTTAAAGGCATGAGAAAACTAATGCTGTTGTCTTACATGCATTTGTATTATTGTTCTCATAATATATATTACTTTTATTATATCATAATTATTTAGATAGACTCAGAAATATAATTTTTTACTGAATTATACAATTAAATATTTTTAGGAAAAATACGTGCCTGAAGTTCAGTATCAGATTATATTAAATGGAGAAGAAATCATTCTTCACCTAGAAAAAAGCAAGTAAGTTATATTTCCTGATAGTCTAATCACTCACTAGATTCTACTAAGAAGATTTGGAAAATAAATCTTGAGACTCTATTCTTTGTGGTTGGAGACAGAGACTCAGAACATATTGAATTTTAAATGTTATTAGTTTGCACTAACACTATCTAAGAAGGTTGCCGCTCTCCTAAGGAATTATATGCGAAGTGTAAAACAGAGAACTTCACAGATAAATGACTTTCTTCCTTCAAGCTGCTTGGAATTTTCTGAAAACCTTCCCTACACAGAAAAACTTAAATCTTTGATGTGGCTTTCCATTGTTTATATAAGAATCATATGTTCAAGGTAGATGCAGGGTGCAAAGGCCTTGGGATGCATACTACAGGGTCAGGCTCCACCAACTCTTATAGTAGTCAGTAAACTTCTCCCTGAATATAATGGTTCTTCACGCATATTTGTGATCCAATACTATTCAGAGATTCTGTAGAGGATGTGTCCTTTGTGCAAAAGCATCCCAAAAGAACCCATTTGAAAAGAAAGAATCTGCAGCTGCAAAATAGCTGAGGGTATTTATTCCCTTAGATCTAATAGGCATAACTAATGCTTTGATTTGCTTCAGCAGTAGAGTTCCACTATTGGAAAAAGATCAGTGGGTCAGAATGTCAACTGTTTCTCATTGTAGACGTCATTGTTCCTTTAGTGCAAAAGATTACGTCAGGAAAACCATCCTTTATTTATTACCATCCTGAGTGTATCATGAAGCTTTCTCCTCTCTACAGGTATCTCATAGGACCAGACTACACTGAAACGTATTACTCGTCCAGAGGAGAGGAGATCACCACGAGCCCTCAGAACATGGTAGGGTGAAAAGCTTTCTGAGACTATTTCTGGGATCTGCCTTTTACTTTATAAGATTCATAGATCAATGAACAACTTAAAAAAAAAAAAATCAATGGATTTGGAAGCAAAGAGTGTATCTGTGACCAGTGAGACAACAAATGAAATCATGGTCTGCTTTTAAAATTAGGAATAAGAGGAGGCTTTCAAGTAGTGTGTTTTTAGAAGCAACCAAAAGCCCACTTTCCCCTAGATCATTTTACGTATAGGTTGGAAATACTCTCCCCAGTAAGTAACATTATGTCACTATTATTTTCTGAAGGTAAATATATATGCCTTTATGGTGGATTCAGCTATTAGAATATCAATTATTTAATATATTTTATATCTGGTTAAACCACATTCTATAGATTATGCCAGGACCTAGATGTCAGACCCAACAGAGAATTATGGGTAAGGAAAAAATGGGAAGAAAAAAACAAAATGTCACAATCATACGGTGGCACCCCAAACATGTATGCCTCTATGAAAACAGACTAAGAGTTCTTTGACAAAATGGCCTTTTCTTCCTTTCTTACATCAAACTTCTCATTTCATGAATATCTAAAATTTTGCTGCAGCAAAATTTCCTCAGGGGAAAGTATCTGATAGATTAATTTGTACTCAGGTGTTAATGGCTGATGATCCCCTAATGTGGTATATTTCCCAAGTCTTCTATGAAAAAATGTCTATGAATGACAAGTTTTCTTCCAAAGAAAAGATAGACACAGATGGAATTTTAGGCTCTCAAGAAAGTCAATTTATTTGGAACAAGGGATTGTTCATTAGCTTTCTTAGATTATACCACGTATGTGCCTCCCTACTTTGCTTATATGGATGATCGATCATTTCTGAGTCTCTTGTTGTAAGCAAAAAAAAGCAAAGATGACACTTTGGGGATGAAGGTATGCCTGACCCAGGCTATGGTATTTTCAAAAACCATATATGCATGCGGAAGCTGGACAATGAATAAGGAAGACCGAAGAAGAATCGATGCATTTGAATTATGATGTTGGCCAAGAATATTGACCACCAGAAAAACGAATAAATCTGTCTTGGAAGAAGTATAGCCAGAATGTTCCTTAAAAGTGAGGGTGGCGAGATTTTGTCTCATAAATTTTTCACGCGTTATCAGGAGGGATCAGTCCCTGGAGAAGGGCATTGTTATGGATTGAATTGCGCCCCACCAAAAAAGTGTGTAAACTTAACTAGTCCATGATTCCCAGTGTTGTGTGATTGTCCATTTTGTCATTTGATGTGATTTTCCTATGGGTTGTAAATCCTACCACTATGATGTTCATGAGATGGGATTATGGGCAGTTATGTTAATGAGGCAGGACTCAATCTACGAGATTAGGTTGTGTCTTAAATCAATCTCTTTTGAGATATAAAGGAGAGAAGTGAGCAGAGAGACTTGGGGACCTCATACCACCAAGAAAGTAGTGCCAGGAGAAGAGTGTGTCCTTTGGACCCACGGTCCCTGGGCTGAGAAGCACCTAGTCCAGGGGAAGATTGATGACCAGGACCTTCCTCCAGAGCTGACACAGAGAGAAAGCTTTCCCCGGGAGCTGACACCCAGAATTTGGACTTCTAGCCTCCTAGACTATGAGAGAATGAATTTCTATTTGTTAAAGCCAGCCACTTGTGTTTCTGTTATAGCAGCACTGGACAACTAAGACAAATGTCACGCTTGGTAAAGCAGAGGGTCAGTGAGAAAGAGGAAAGCCCTCAAGGAAATGGATTTACACAGTGGTTGCAACCATGGGTTCAAGCATAACAACGATTGTGAGGATGGCACTGGATCAGGCAGTGTTTCCTTCTGTTACACATAGGGTTGCTATGAGTTAGAACCAGCTTGACAGCACCTAACAACAGCTCTGGGTTTTTGACACCAGTAAAGGGATTCCTCAACTATTCCATCTAAAATGGTGACGTGGACCAATTATGATAAGGAGCTCAGGAGTGGTAGTGCAGCCTCTTGAGGACTCCAGAGTCTAGAAAAAAATGAATGCCTCATTTTACTAATATGTGATGCACAGTATCATTGGAACTCGGCACCGTAGAAACCCGTTGCCTTTGAGTTGACTCAGATTCATAGTGATTCTATAGGAGAGAGCAGAACCGTTTCCTAGGCTGTAATCTTTACCTGTAGAGTGACTGGTGAATTTGAACTGCTAACCTTTCAGTTAGCAGCAGTGCTTAACGACTGCACCACAAGGACTCCTTGAGATTTCACCACAGGGCAGCTAAATTCTTGAAAGTTGGTCCTCAAACCTGAGAGCTCTCCAGGAGTACAGTCAGTCTCAAGGGAGCTGGCTGCTTCTCAGCTGCAGCTTCCATTTTGTCCAGGAACATGCTTAGATTCAACCTTCCTACATTTTTTTCCTTAATACAAATTAGAATCAGAACGATAGCTCAGCCACCAAATACGGAGATTTTCTAGGGTCACCTGTGGAGCAATTCAGAAAAATTTGAGGTTCTCACTGCTTTTTGTTTCAGGAAACTAGTGTGGGCACAGTCACTGTTTGATGAACTTTGCTAAATATTGCAGATGACAGCTTTTACCACAAAATGTGATACACAAATTATTGTAATAATTTTTTTTAAAAAAGAATTAAAACATAATTTCTTTTATCTACCTCCAGGAACACTGTTACTATGAAGGATACACCCTAAATGAAAAGGATTCTGTTGCCAGCATTAGTACTTGTGATGGGCTGAGGTGAGAGCCTCCCTCAAAATGTTAAACATCAGGCATAGTTTTGTTACACAGAATTAAGTCCTTCTGGATATTTTGTTTTCTTACTATTTTGGTATAATTTGACAATTATTAAAATGCCAAATATATGTGGTTAAAGAGTAAAGTATCATCCTTACACTCATTTCATAATCTGCTGCTACAGTAGAAGACAGCTCCAGCCATTTTTAAACAAGAGTGCCACACTCCAGACCTGATGACACCTGCATCCATTTCCATGTTTACCTGCCATACTTCCTGAAGCCACGTGTTTTATATTTTTTTAAAGAGTCTGCGCTGCAATTGGAGCCCTGGTGGTGCAGTAGTTAAGAGCACAGCTACTAACCAAAAGGTTGGCGGTTCAAATTCATCAACCGCTCCTTGGAAACCTTTGGGGCAGTTCTACTCTGTCCTATAGGGTCAGTATGAGTCGGAACCGACTCAACAGCAACAAGTTACCCTGCAATTGTCCCAGATTAACTTATTTTATGTATAAAAGTGTATGTGTGAGTGTATATATAGTTCTGTTTACAAAAGCTAATCCTTGACAATTAGGGAAAAATAAGACAAAGTCCAAATAAGAAAATAACACCCACTCCAAATTTTTGCCTCTGAAAGATCACTATCGTTAACATTTTGTCATAATTACAGCCTTTTATGCATATCAAGAAATATGCATTTTATGGGAGACTATTTTGTCCTGTAAGCCTTCATCTTAAGTGAGAATAACAGCATAATTAG